GGTTAGTGCTACTATGCCAGGTGGACATTTATTATACCTTTCTTTTAGAGATAGGAATAAAGTGAACGTCTGTGGTCAACAAACTGAATGATATCACAACGATTACGAAAACCACCGCGGGATCAGTCTGATCCCGATCGTCACCAAGGTGCTAGTTTCAGTCATACTTCAACGTCTGACTCCTTTAAGAGAGATCAATATCAGTGAACAATAAGCTGAATTCCGGCCTGGCCGTGGATGTATTGATCAAACTTTTACGTTGCCCCAGGTCTTTGGGCCGCATCACACCCACCACCGATCAACGATCGCAGTGTTCCTTGACTTGAAAGAAGCCTTCGACTCGGTTGACCGCGAATCTCTGATGGACTATGATGAACTAAGTAAGCCATTCATCACCAGCAGCGGCCTAGAAGTTTCGTTTACTCCAAAACCAAGGCTGAACCTCCATCCTTAGAAACCGACTGGGACAGCCCGTCGTGGCCGGAAGCCTTATACCTTCTGAGAGTTTTTCTCGGGTAATCTCCATTTCAGATAGAGGAGTGATGTCAAATGACAGTATTTGTCGAACTGAAGCAGGTACGAGGAGGTTTTTTGTAGACGTGGGTTAGCAGAACTGTGCCCGTAAATGTTCTGCCCATCGTTCAGAACCTTGTTGCTGAATATGAATCAGTGTGCCGTCAAACTCCTCAAGTACCTCGCCTATTTTCCCCTAGACCCGTACTTCTAACTAAAAAATACTGCTACCATTACTGATAGTTACACTCTTTTCCATCTCTACGCTTCCCTATCTACCGCTCGTGGTTATTCCTTGGGCTCTTGAGCTGGCGTTTAACGGATTAACGCACTTTGTCGTATTTTACATGAGAAAGAATGGCTTTGCGAGCATCCAGTGGAACAGCCGAAGTCGAAGAGACCCATCGTTCTTGCTTTGATTCTGCATCAGAATTCACCGTTGTTTTGATTAACATTCGGATCGTTTCCTCAATTGCCCTCCAGTGTTCATTGAGTCCTTTGGCTGATGGTTGAACTGAAGGCGACCAAAGGGTTCTGCTTCGAAGACCGAATTGCGATTATCGCTGACCGTGTTGTTCTATCCGTTTCCGTTAACTTTTCTGTGGTCGTTTACCAGACGGAGGAGGAATCCGGCTCGTAGCAGAGCATGGTCGGTGTAAACGGTTGTTGACCATTAAGAGCGGCATTGTTGAATGAATATTCGTCAGTGGTGATGTCGATTTGAAAACATCGCTGTGAAAAGGTTGACAGTTTCCATTTATGCCGTCTCCTTTGCGAAAAGTTGATGCTTGACGTGAACAGTCCGTGATCAGCGCACAGTTAGAATGTGCGTTCTCCGTTGTTCGTCCTTTTTTCTGCGATTGCATGAGTACCACCAAGAAACCTTTCTGATTTGTCCAGGGATCCCACGTGGACTCTGTCGATCGCCCCGCACTATGGAACTGTTTGCGGAGATACGAAGTACCCGAGGAGTATGTCTCACTCCTTAAAGCGCTCTATTACCAGACCTCCGGAAAGGTTAGAACCTATGGTGAGTTTTCACCCTCATTTCCTGTCACCAGTGGGGTGCGACAGAGTTGCCCTATCTCTCCGTTTCTCTTCAACTTTGCCATAGATGATGTCCTGCAAAACGCGTTACATAACGTGATCAATGCTGGTGTCGAGCTTCTTCTTGGGGACAGAGTTGAGGACTCGGAGGATGCCGATGATATTGCCCTACTGAGTAACAACCGTTTGGCAATGGAGGTTACTCGCTATGGTATGTCATTTGCACCTTCAAAGTACGAAGTGTTGTCGCAAGATTAGCAGAACCCATTCCTGCACTTTCATTGGGTAATGACACTGGAAGTAGTCGAAAGCTTTGTCTACCTTGGGAGTTGCATAGCGCTTGCGGAGGTGTGGATGAGGAGATCTCTCAACGCGTGATCAGAGCTAGATTAGTGTTTACTAATCTGCGACATCTCTGGCGCCGGCAGGACATATCCCTTTCACTGAAAGGGCGCGTGTATTGCTCTCTGGCTGCGATACCTGGCCTTTCCGAGCAGATCTCGTCCAGCAACTACCTACATTTTACTTTTACTTTTGATCGACTAACTCCTGCGGGAGGATAAATCGGCTTCCTGGATGTCTCTAATTATGGCGGTCCATGCATGACGATCGGTAGCAAGGTTGACGCAGTGTGAAACCCAGTTCTGGTTCCAGTTGCGAATTCCATATACGGATTGGAGACCTAGTAATTCCAAATCCGTCTTGATCGTACTACTCCAGGTCTTCAATTGACCACCGAGTCTGCAACGCCATCCATGACATGGTGCGGGGGCTATAGCCTGTCGCGAGAGTTGTGTCGGGTCTTCGGAGCACATAACCAAACCATTGAAGGCGCCGGTGTTGTAGAATTTTTGAAGGCTTGTCAATGTTCAAGCAGCGCCGTCGAACCTCATCATTGGAAATCCGATCTCTCCAATTTACTTTCATGCTGCGGCGTAAGCACCAATGATCAGACTTCGAGCTTCCTTATATCTTGTACTCTTAGTGGCCAGGTTTCACAAGAATAAATAAGGATCGGGTGGATAGAAGCCTGGTAAACCCGAAGCTTAGTGTTTAAGCTAATTTCGCATCGATTCCACAACGGTTTGATGAGTTGTAGGAAGGCTCTTCTAGCTCCATCTACACGGAGTTAGATTTCATCCTTTGCCTGGCCGTTTGGTCTTATCGTGGAGCCAAGATACTTGAAAACTTCGCTTGATTCGACAAGCTCCCCGTTAATTGAGAGGAGTTGTGTCGTGGTAGAAGTTTCGGTCGAAAATGTCTTCGTTTTCGACGTGTTGATCTCCAGCCCAATGGACTGGGCAAACAGATTTATACGACTGACAACAGGCTGGAGGTTGTCCATGCTGTCTCCAAGTACGACGACATCATCCGTAAACTTGAGGTCCGCCTGATGAACTTCTCAGGCATCCCGTCGGACCGCAATATGCACCACAAGGATTCTCTATCGACAGAGTCAAACGCAGCGCGAAAGTCAATGAAACATGCAGTGGTAGGCTGTTGGAACTTCTAGCGGTGTTCCAGAAATCTACGGAGATGAAGATTTGTTCAATACAGCCTCTTACGCGGCGAAAACCCCCTTGGTTCGGGCGAGTGCGCGTATCCCTGACGACTGCAAACCGATTAAGCAGTATAACTGCAAACAATTTGGCTGCAATATCAATCAGGCTAATGCCCCTGTAATTTTCGCATCTAGATCTGTCACCCATTTTTGGGACCGGGACTGAAATTGAAGCCGTCCAGTCTTTTGGACAAACTTCCCTTTCCCAAATGGTATGGAAAAGAGAGTGCAGCGGATCGATCAGAGTTGGTAAGCAAGCTTTGAGTAACTCTGGTGGTATCCCGTCTTTTCCAGGGGTCTTCCTTTTTTTCAGAGAAGTGACTACATTGATGATTTTTGTCGTGCTAGGTGGGTCGCAATTGACATCTTAAGTCTCCGAACTGCTTGACATCTGTAGAGAGCCAGATTGGTTTGATGGTCGGTTGAGCAGCCCGTCGAAGTATTCAACTCACCTTTGCATTTTTTGCTCGGTTCCCTGAATAAGTTGGTCTGTGGTGCTGCGCAATAGTGGTTGTGATGTCGGCCTCTTTCCTGCTGCTACACGAATTAGACGGAATAGCTTTCCAAAGTCCGCTTCGACGGTTGCAGCCTCCATGCTGTCTGCAATCGCCTTCCAGTATTGTTTACGGTCACTCTTGGCGGAACATGTAGCTTGGCGATGGAGAATACGAAATTCAGGAGAGTTGATCAGCCACGCATCTCTTGCCTTTGCGGACAACTGCAGTGTACTCTCGGAGATCCAGTCTCTGTTGTGGCGAAGAATCTCACCTAACTGCTCCAGCGCTGCTTCTCTGATGGACGTTTTTTAGTGCAGACCACTGTGCGTCGACAGTTGAGTCATCAAAGAAGGTTTCGGCTATGTTGGAAGCGGTTGCGTCTAGCATCGCCTGCCTTGTCTGGGGTTGTTCCAAGAGCGCGACGTTGAATTTGCCTGGGAGACGAGTCTTCCGGCGAGTAGTCAGATGGATCCTGAAGCGGGCGCGTACAAGGGTATGGTCTGTACCCTTCCAGTTTCTGCGCTGCGATAGGAACGGTAGTCTTCTACCGAAGAGGCCCACCGAGCACATACCGAAATATAATCAATCTGGTGTGCCGTTCGACCATCATTTGAGTACCACGTGAGCAGGTGTTTTCTGGGGTGCTGGAAATGGGTGTTGGTCACGACNTCGCGTCTCGGACTGCGGTTCGCTGCGTCTTGAACTTGGTTGTAGAAGTCATCCTTGATGGGCTCTTCCGCATGTAACGTTGGAGCATATACAGCAATGACAGTCAGGTTAAACGGCTTTCCTCTGAAGCGCGCTATGACAATCGTGGGAGAGATTGGTCCCCAGGAAATCATGGCATTGTTGTCGCGGCCGCTCACGGCGATTGCTACCCTGTGCAAACCGGAGTTGTCAGTTGGGCGGCTGTGGTATAACCGGTAGGTTGCGTTGCTATGTGGTACGTCGATTAGTTTTGTGCCACAGTTAGGTAGTCGGACTTCGGACAGACAACAGATGTATACCTTGTAGTTGTGCAGTGATCGCATCGTGATACACTGGCTTCCTGTGTCTAGCAATGTTCTAATATTCCAGCAGGCTACATGGATACTGGATCTGGTGCATAGATGATTTAGGTCCCTAGCTTGCTCATTTGTCACCCCAGCCACTGAGAGAGCGCAGGGCGCGTCGCTTTACTTATGTCGGGAGTTGCATCGGCTCAAGAGGACTGACGGAAGAAATATCAGCGCGTATCCGCAAGGCTCGAGTGGCCTTCGCTAACCTACGTCACTTATGGCGCCGACACGATCTCATTCTCTCCTTGAAAGGTCGCGTTTACAATGCAACAGTACGCTCTGTCCTACTCTACGGCTGTGAGAGTTGGCCTCTCCACGCAGAAGATGTACGGAGAGTAAGTCTCTTTGACCACCGTTGCCTTCGTTACATCGCCAGGATACGTTGGCAACAGTGAATCACCAACGACGAGGTTCGCCGAAGAATATTCACCGCAGACAATCTCAGTCGTCCTCTGAGTGCCGCCTTCTCACTCCAGAGACTTCGATGGCTAGGACATGTGTTGCGGATGCCGGCTCAACGATTGCCCCACCGTGTTATGTTTGCGCAAGCAGACACAAACTGGAAGCGGCGACACGGTAGACAGCGAATAACCTGGGCTCGAACAATGAAGGCGCTAACCTCAAAACTGGCAGTGGTAGGGCGCTCTAGACTCCCAGGTTGGGGGCCCAAGGACAGAAAACATCTATGGCTTGATACGCTTGCAGACATGGCTGGTAACCGACGTAATGGCGCACCTGTTGCGAGACTTTTATTCGTTGATTTACATTTTAACCGTTTTCACATCTCTTTCTTCATACGTTGTGGCATATCTGCCAATTCTATGTAATTGACTGCATGTTAAATATATATATATATATACAGGTCGCGTCGCTTCCCGGGAACGCCGTAGCATGAACGTGATGTACCATTGTAAGACGATCCATGAAGAAACTTGGGATTGAGGTACTAAGTGACGTCCTCAGCGTCGCTCGGCTTTTGTTCGAGGGTGCACCTCTAACCCTTGCACAACCAAGTGCGATCTGCAGGGTAACAGGGTAGAATTGTTGGTAGCCGGTGACCGTTGGAACGGTTCATACTCCTTTCGGATGGCTCTGCGCCAATTCAAGATTCCCAACGTGTCCGTGAGGTAGCATTCTTCAGTTTGTCCTACTCTTACGAGTAGGCAAGTGGCAATGGCCTTATTTGGTGGTGGGCCACACTCGCACACGTCGCGATGCTGTCAGCAGACATTTATGGCATTTTAACAGGATATCGGTTGCCAGCCGAAAACTCCACCACGTCCTCTAGCATCGCCGCTGATCGTCCGCTACAAATTATTCAGTGAGGTAGCCTCACCTATTCACGGTTAACCACCAAGGTGACCGTTCTCCTATCCGCGACCTGGAGACGCGCTCGGTAGCACTCAGCTGTGCTATCCGTAGACAGTTCCATGCCTACGAGCCGAGGACTGTCAGTCTTCGACAACCGTTATCTGCGCCATATCGCCCGCGTATAGTGGGAGCATCGCGTGAATAACGATGAAGTCAGACGACGGGTGCTAGGATCAGATAGTCTTCCTTTTTCACAGCATCGTCTTAGGTGGCTAGGGCACGTCCTACAAATGCCTGAGCATCGTCTGCCACACCGTACACTATTCGCAGACATCGGTCCAGGCTGGAAGAAATAGCGAGTTGGGCAGCCTGTGACGTGGCGCAGAGGTTTAAAGAGATTGTGCTCGGATCTGGCTTCCGTTGGGGTTTCTCGGCTCCCTGGCCGGAGCCCCGAAAATTCAGATTGTCGTTGGCTAGAAACATTGCGGGATATAGCATCGAACCGAAGTCAGTGGCGCAAATGCATCGTCTTCTGGTTGTAATCCCAAAAGTAAACAAAAAACGAAAATAAGCTCAAAATGGCGTGCAGTAAACAAAACAAAGAATGCTGTTACTCCTGATGTTGACTGTTTTACTTTCCCCGCTTCTGTAGCTATATTCTTCGCATCTGTAAAGATT